TTAATACACGAGTTTCACAATTTGAGTTGAATTACTGAAATAAATTAACTTTTCCACGACATTCTAATTTATTGAGATGCACCCGTAGAATGCCTAAAGTGGAACATCAAAATAAAGTGTAACCAAAAATTGGTTTCATCCAGACAATGTTTGGACCCCGATGACTTACATCATATGGATAAAAACCATTGGAACACTCTTCAAAATATCTTCTTTTGTGTTCTGCAGGAGAAAGTCATACAGGTTTGGAACAACGTGGGGGTGACTAAATGATGAAATCATTTTTGGGAGAACTGTACTCTTTAATTAAAGAAAATTCCCAGTAAGCATTTGTGAAATATTACGATATTTGTCTCTAAACAGTTGTGCATGAATCCAAAATAACTCTTAATTTAGTAGGTTCACTGTGTTCTTTAAATGCATGATTTCCAAACAGATGGCTGAAAAATAAAATAAAATAAAATACGGTAAGTCCTAATTACCAAACTACTTACATTATGGATTCAAAATTAACTCTTCGTTTTCTTCTTCTTTTTTTTTTTTAATCTGTGCAACACCTATACAGTACTTTGAACCTGTTGATCTGTTACCCATTCATCCAAAGAAACAGTTCTGTCAAAAAAAAAAAAGCCTTTTGTGTGTGTGTGTGTTAGAATTGTAAATCTCAAAGACAAAAAAAGCCGTTTTTTTTTAGACAGTTCCAGGAACACAGTAATTAGAGATATAAAAACTGGAGTTACGTTTGTATACCTGCACCTCAATACAACTGCAATCGACGTTTTTATTATTACAAAAACGATTTATTAAGCATGTCCACTTCTTAAATCCAGCGACATTGTCGGCTAGCCACAAGCCCTTGATTGTTTCCATGCCACATTTTGCCGTCAGATCCCAGGCAGCTTCTAGGCATCCATCGCTCAGCGAGGACTGGTCCAGCTGCCATCCCCTCATTCCTCAGCAGAATGAATGGCTTCCCTACGCCACGCTCCCCGTGCCGAGCTGGCTCTTTCATCTCTCTGAAGCCCTCTCGCCGTGATACACTACGTGAGTGCACATATGAGGCGCAGCTGAAACGCGGCCTGGTGGAAGACTGATGAGGTTTCCACCTTGTCGTGATGGAGCTCAATATGGTCTTTGCTGCAAGCTGATATGAGCTCGTGTTCGGGCTGATATGGTTTGTTTCAGAGGAGTAGTGGTCTCCGAGAACTCAAATAGGATTCATACGGCACTGAGTAATAGTTGTTTTGGAAATTTAGTTGGATTCTTTGTAAGGAGGGATGAGATCTGTGGTGAAGTGTGGCATCATCCATGACTTCAGCTACATAACACTGGTGTTTGCATGTACATTGATTGAAAACTTTGTTTAGTTGCTTTACTTGCTTACTAGAAAGACATTATTTTCAGTGCACACATGCCTTTTTTATGGAAACAAGCCTCATTATAAAATGCAACATATTCACAAACCCTGTTGTCACTGCCTGGTGCAGTTATCGTTGGCATGAAATGAACATTTATTTTGTAAATCACTGTTATAGATGTCATTGTGAACTACTCATACATATTCAGATTTCTCTCTAGTAACGTAAGGACAAATTCTCCAATCATTTGGTCTGCTTAAACCCCACCCCCTCCACAACTGACTGCAAGCTCACATTCGTTTTGAATGCCACGCCCACATCTCAAAATCCAATCAACAACCAGCTAATAAAACCAAGTCCCCTCCCTACGTTTTTTTTTCTTCGATAATTTGTTACACTGGTGTACATCAGAAGACATACAGTATGTCTCTAGTTCCATTTCATCGCAATTTTTTTTTTCACATTTTTTTCCCAATAGTGCTAGTGTTGCCAAAAATATACGTTTTTCGATACAGTACATCTTCTGAATATCTGAAACCATTTCAATATTTTTTTTTCACAGTATTGATAAAATGATACAAGCTGCACATTCTCACTCTCTCTTCTTTCAGTCAAATTGAATTAAATGTGTATTTTAATTAAATAAGTATATAGTTATTTAATAATGACTTAATTATGGCTTATGACTTAGTTGGATTTAAGTCATAAGTATTGTAATTTCAATAGTGTAAAGTAAAATAATATACTTATTATGTAATTTATTTATTACTTATTATTATTCTCTCTCTCTCTCGCTCTCTCTGTCTCTCTCTCTCTCTCTCTCTCTATATATATATACAGTAATGAATAAACAACTCTATACTGCATATCCCGTTCATCCAGAGCAGGTAGTCTAATTTCAAAATTTCTGAACAGATTTGTAGTTCTGAATCTTTTAATTTTCTTAGTGCAAGGCAGTAACTAGATTATAGAGTGAGATGTGCTCATCTACTTAAAGAGCTTAATGGAAATAAGCATGACACAACATCTACTTTCAGCCTTGATATGTACGAGGAATAAATTCAATAATCCCAAGGGGCTTCTTAAGATATATTCTCTGACTGACTGGCTGGTGCTCTCTCATACAGTAGTATGGCAATGTATATGAACTGAGACTATGGGATATAAATCACCTATTTTCAACTGTCCAAAACTCTGACTGATGTCTTGGTGAGCAAATCAGTTTCCAAAGAACATGTCTGGTCTCATTCCGTAGAGCTGAGGGACACAATTGGACTCATGTGGAGAGCTGACAATGGAACCAAATCACAGCAGCCCACTTTATTCTTGTAGAAAATGAGACATGGTTGCAACGCTATTCTGAACTCTGCAGAAAAGACTAACATAGTCAGTTACCAGAATATGCTATGTTTTGTGCAATAGCAAGTTAGATTTGTTGGCTTTATCCCCGCCGGGAAGCTGAGCCACAGAAAACTGACTTGCTGTAGTAGCAGGAGCTTGTTAGTTGACCAGCAAGACTATGCTTCGTCAAAAAATACCTTGCTGGTTGGGTTCATGAAAATGTTATCATTAATAGTTTGATGCCACATAGCATATGCAACGAAGATGTAACGAAGCTATAAAAGCGGTGATCCACACTTACGTGCTGCCACTGGTCTCGGATGAGCGGCCGGTAGCGCAGGAAGTACTTCAGCGGGAAGGTCTCCACATCGGGCCACGTACTGGGACTGTTCCAGGTCACCTCTAGTCTCCGTGCATTGTTGGCGACGGGTTTAGCCACCACCTTCTCAGGGGGGTCAGGTTTCACTGTTGGACCAAAGAGACCTCGATGTAAGCTCATGACCAATCGCAGGTATCATTTTCAAAGGAATAAATCCCCCCAAATTAATTCTGTCATCAGAATTTCATTGCTTTCGTCTGTGGAAAACAGATGGAAAAAAGTCCTCAAATCGCATCCACACCATATTCAAATGGGTCACGTCAAATCACGTCTCGCCAGGTTTGATGTAATTGACATGAGATGGTATTTTTTTTCATGCATCTCATAACAGAAACTGGTATGTATCAATATGAAAAAAAAAATGTTTATTCTGGTTCTTGCACAATTATATAGTATGGCTTAAAGGCAAAATACTACAGGTAAATAATAATGAAACATACTATACTATTACTACTTCACGTCGTACCTAACAACGCCCCTTAGCTGTTATAAATTCACTGTAAACCACAGCTTCTTGGGGCTTATTGCTTTATCACCACACTTTCCCTATGTGATCAATGACAGTACATTAAAATAATTGTTTTTTTATTTCATGTCTTCTGAAATGTTATGTTCAAATATGCAAATTATACATTATATAATTAAGTATTCACCAATCTGCATAAAATTCCAGAACAGAAAAATTAACATTAGATTAAGCAGTTTCAAAATTCATGTTTCATTATTATTACTATTATTATTATTATTATTATTTTACATATTAGTTAAAGATTTTCTACAGAAAATAAATAAATTAAAATAAAATGAAATAAATGAAATGAAATGAAATGAATGAATGAAATCACTAAGTTCAAAGGAATAAAATGTTATATAAATTGTAAACAAATAAAGTATAAAGATATATATATATATGCAGATATAGATTTATAAACTGTAAAGTTTTATGTATGCAAGTGTTTCTGAAGTAGAGATTTCGTGCTAATTTTAAGAAAATGGCATTTAAAATATGTATTGTAATTAATCTACCGATGCAAATAGATCAAGTGTCATAAAATTCACATTTGAATGTGTATTTTGGGTGTTTTGTTTAAACTAATTTGAAAGAAGACATGTTATTGAAGCAAAAAGCTCCAAAATCTCAAAACTGACAAGTGCATGAAAAAAAAAGGTTTTCCCAAAGAGGATTGGGAATACTTATGGGCTAATTTTAAAGTACTTTGTCTTTTTGGAGCTTGAAGCTTGCTTTCACTATATGGAAAAGAGCAACTTGAACATTCTTCTAAATTTCTCATTTAGTTTTTCTCAAAAAAAAAAAAAAAAAAAAAAAAAAAAAAAAAAAACATAAGGGTTTATTTTTACAACTTAGTTATCAGTATCTGTAAAAGTACCAGCCGATTAATCGGTTATTAGCCAGATTTTACAACTTAGTTATCAGTATCTGTAAAAGTACCAGCCGATTAATCGGTTATTAGCCAGATTTTACAACTTAGTTATCAGTATCTGTAAAAGTACCAGCCGATTAATCGGTTATTAGCCAGATTTTACAACTTAGTTATCAGTATCTGTAAAAGTACCAGCCGATTATTGGTTATTAGCCAGATTTTACAACTTAGTTATCAGTATCTGTAAAAGTACACTGTAAAAAATAAGTGTAATTTTAACTGTAAAATTTTGTAAAAACACTACGGAAGTAGTGTAGTAGGTTAACAGTAAATTCCCGTACTATATACAGGGAAAAACTGTAAAATATCTAACCAGATATTTCATGTAATTTTACAGTAAAATGCTGTTAATTTGACAGTTTTTAGAAGTAAAAACAACAAATCAATGTATAATTTACAGTCAAAAACTATAAACTGACATTCCCAGAATTCCCTGCATGACAATCCACATTTGAAAGTATTTTGTTTAAATAATTACGTTTTTTTTTAATAGTTTTTGTTATTAGTTATGTATATTTGGGCTTTATGTTACATCTTCTGTTGTTTAATGAAAGTTTAATGCATTATTTAAGTATCATGTGTGTTACCATGATGGTGTTTTGTGTTTGCATGAATGACTCTGTGCACCTTCTATATATTAGTATATACTTCTGCTTGTGGCGAAGCTACTTGTGATGAGCTTTGATTCTTCATGTGGCTTTCTCTTTTACCACCTGCATTATTATGGTGGTTGTCAGTATGTTAAAGGTACAAAACAGATTTTAATAGCAGTGTGCATTGTTGAATTTACTGGTTTACATTCAAATTTTCTTGTTTGTAAATTACAGTTTTATACTGTAAAATTTACAGTTTTTGGCCGTAAATGTGTTTACAGTTTTTCTGTATTTTTTACAAAATTGTAAAAACTACAGATTTTTTTTTACAGTGTACATTTTTAGGTAAACTATTTCCTTAACAGCTAGGAAGTGTGAAAATGCCTCTAATGCTGAGATGCTACTGGTATATGAGTTGTAACAAGGCTCAGTATCAAAATAACACTGTTTTAGAAGCTAAGCAGAAAGAATATCGCATGACAAATGCCACTAGCGAAACACTATAATGGAAAAAGAGATGAATGATGAATAGTGCTGAGATTTCCTCTTTATGATCCGCAGCTCGTCCATCTGAGCAGAAAATCAGTTTGACATAACACACATGTCTCCTAAAGAAGCCACACTGACATTTCTCGAGATGTCTTTTGAGCAGCCGCGTCTCCTGAATATTAGGAAAGCCTTTTGGAGCTAAGGTTTATGGGAAATCAGCAGAGAGCAACAGAGTGGCCTTTCTCTTCTTCTCGAGCTGCGGTGGCCAAGGATCATTCTGTTTGTTCTGCGGTTTTAGCTTCACTCGCACACAAACACATACACACGAGGACAAAGAGATGTTTCTGAGCTCCGTTCCCTTTACTATTCATAGCAGACACATAGTGGCTTCAGGATTTATAGCTCAGGCCTTGACCTGGCTTGAGCGAAACACTCTTTATGACTTTCAAACACTGTTGATGTTGTTTAGATGTTGGCCATTCGGATACTAATTTTTATGTCGGGGCATACTGAGAGGAAGGGCTGGACTGCAAAAATTCACTTTCTTAATCAGTATTTTGGCTTTTCCTCCCCAGTAAAATATCTAAACATCCTGTAGACAAGATAAATTGGAACAATTGGATCAATTTAAAAGGAACCTATTTTTTATACCTCATTGGAAAATTGTTTTGACCTGTTTTAAGCATAAACCTCACTAAATCTGGTTAGGTTTCTGCTTAAAATAAGGGGGGGGGCGGGGGAAGTAAAATACGTCTCATGCATTTCCATATTTTTAATAAAAAAATTATGCAAAAAATACTGATAAAGAAAAAATATATATTTGCAGTGTAGCTGAAAAAAATAAATAATTTAAATTGTTTATATTTAGTTCCCATGTATCTTGAAGTTGTGCAGTAGTCTGCATGCTTTAGTTTCAATGTAAGGCAGTTCATTTATTTTATGTACTTTCATCAATATGTTCCCTACTTGTCACTGAAATGTATACTAATCACAAGTTGCTTTTTTTTTCAAATGAAATCAAATAGCTGCCCCATATAAAATACTTTTTTTTTTTTTTAAAGGAATCAGTTTTCCTTAAAATACTACACTAGAAACAGTGAGACAATATTTTCATTGTCAATCCAGTGATCCAGACTGCATTAGCATTTTTATTACTATCAAGCACAAATGTAGCCATGCATGTAAGCATTCTATTTAGTTGCCAGAAGCCACTTCAACAACACCTCCACCGTCAATATATTGGAGATATTTCCTTCAATTCGGTTTGCCAGCATGGGTGTTGAGATGATAGTAGGTTACCAGAGTGTCTGGTAAATATGAGCTAGATGTTTTGGCAAGGTCTATTGACCTGTAAATGATGTTTTCTGTGTCTGCAGTGAATAAATACATATAAATACAAACATACATAAATACATACGTTTATTCGCTAGAAAAAGTTAATTAAATATGATAAGAACTCGGAGTCAGATAACACTTAAGCAACACATAACACATGCAAAGTGTCTGAATAATTTTTGGTCCCAAATCTTTATCAATTTTACTGGTAGTGCACTGTATGGAGAATGTTTGGGTATAATATGTCACAGTTTACTTTATTTTGCTATTTTCCTGCACCCACTAGTAAAAAAA